TACAATTCTGACTTTCCAATTTAAAAAATCACTTATTTTAACTTTATTCCTTCTAGATATCTGAGCCCAGGGTCACTGGCTAAGAGGGTCAGGTCCTGAAGTATCAGATTAGACATTGCCTAGCGACACAGCTGCTCTGGGCCCGCCCCCAGCCCTATCATTCCTCCTCCCAGGTCCATGGGTTGACTGCAAACACTTGTTGGAGTACCAACTGCTGATACGTGTGAATATGATCTCATTATAAAGTGGAGTCCTTGCAGATACAATCCGGTTAAGACGGGGTCACCAGGGTGGGCCCTAAGCCAACATACCTGGTCTCCTTAAAAGAGGAGGAAGTGCCAGGGGGATACAGAGGTGCTAGAGAAAACTGCACATGGCTGTGGTGGCAGTTGGTGCTCTGTCCATAACACAAGGTGCAGCCAGAAGTGCTGGCAAAGGCAGAGGCCAGGAAGGGCCTGTGCCTTCAGAGACAGCAGGCCGGGGCCTTGCTAATGCCTTTGGCCTTCTAACTGCGGCAAAACAAATCTCTGTCTTGATTTTTTGTTTAAGATTTCTTTATTTTGGGACCTGTGCCCCAGCAGAGGATGCTAAGACTTTTCCTGAAAACACTCGCATCCTGAATGAGGAACAGTTCGAGTTCCGGCTGCTCCATTGCCAAGCCAGCTCTCCGCTTGTGGCCTGGGGAAGTGGCAGAGGACAGCCCAAGTCTGAGACGCTGGGCCAGGCTGCTCATCACCGTCCCGGGGCCAAAGACAGAAATGAGATCGCACATCCCTGTTCCCAGAGAAGCCACAGCGACTCACAGCCCTCTGCCAGAGCCTGGCAGACCACAGCGCACAGGTCCCAGGCCAGCTCTCCTCTGGAAGCCCCTCCCAGACACACCAGCAAATGGCGTTGTGCCCAGGCCACAGGTATTCCTTACTGCAGCATCTGATCCCTGAACAACCATCACGGAATGGGGTCCTATAGGGTGCGGGCTGCTTTCTTCTCTTTTCTTCCTCGGTAATATTTTATTTCGGTAATCTTTACATAGTTGACTAGGGCACAAAGGGTCAAGGGCTAGAGGAAAGTGGGTAAGACCATTGTTTCCACATTATTATTATTATTATCATTATTATTATTTTATGTATCTGGGGTAAGGGAGAGATAAAGCGAGAAGCCCCACTCAGCCTCCCACCATCCCAGGTGCTCCGAGAGTCCTGCTCAAGTGGTTTCATTAGTTTAACTGTCCTGATTTGCTGCCGATCTCACAATTCCAAGCAGTTCAGTCGGAGGAATCCCCAAAGAAACTTCGTCTGAGGTGATCCCAGTCCTGATTCTTGTGTGTGCTTACCAGTACAAGGTCCGGCACAGTCCATCGCCCCAATCAGCTTATGCACATGCTGGTGGTTGCAATTGCTGGGTCAGTTCTGTTTACAGACCTGTCTTCCATATGAACCAATATGTGCTACAGTCCAGCCTGGTTCTACCCAGCACACACTTGGCCCTCACATAAACCAGTGGAAGCTGCAGCCTAGTCGGAGCAACTTGTAATAACCCCCACAGGCCTGCCCCCTGCCCTGGCTTCCGTTCTTGCCAGGATGTACAGCAGACTGACCCAGTCTGTCCCACATCCCATTCAGCTCTCATACATGTCAATGGGCATTGAAGCCTAGTTCAACCCAACCAGCCCTACCATCCAGCCCACGCAGATGCTGTTGGTTGCTGTTCTGTCTAGCAACCCCTGCCCCTGTCCTGGTTTTCATGCTCTCCAGTGGGAGTGGTAACCCAAGAGGGAGGAGCCCACTATTTCCCTTCTGGGCCACTCCCATTCCCAGAACATGCACTCTCCAGGTGATTCTGCAGTTTAACTTGACAGAATTAGCCCCCAGTGCCAGCCTCTGCCAGCTGATGCTGCGACAGAGCCCCACCAACCATCACCCACTCTGATTTATACTTGCCCCAGTAGGAACAGTCAGCCCAGCCTGGCTTTTCCCCGATCTAGCTCACATGAGGCCCACAGGTGTTGTAGCCCTGCCTGGTCTGGTCTGCCCCCATCCCAGCTTACACTCTCCAGTGGCAGTGGCGATCCAGCAGGGGAGCCCTCCACATTCCCCATACCTACTTTGCCCCTTCTTCTGCTGTTTCTCACGTGTGCTATTTGGGTGCTGCGGCACAGTCTGGCATGGCTCCCCTCATCTCAGCATTTGCCAGTGGCTGCTGTAGCCTGGCCGGGTCCACCCCGATTCCTGCTGACACTGGTGGGGGTAACAGCCTAGGCGGGCAGGTTTGAAAATGATGACTGGGCCCTACAATTGATCATGGTCACACAGCTCTGAACACACCAACAGCCATTAAAATATACATTTAGGGCCCGGCGCGGTGGCGCAAGTGGTTAAAGGTCCTCGCCTTGCACGCCCGGGATCCCATATGGGCGCCGGTTCTAATCCCGGCAGCCCCGCTTCCCTTCCAGCTCCCTGCCTGTGGCCTGGGAAAGCAGTCGAGGACAGCCCAAAAGCTTTGGGACTCTGCACCCACGTGGGAGACCCGGAAGAGGCTCCTGGCTTCGGATCGGCATAGCATCGGCCCGTTGCGGCTCACTTGGGGAGTGAATCATCAGACGGAAGATCTTCCTCTCTGTCTCTCCTCTCTGTATATCCGCCTTTCCAATGAAAAAATAATAAAAATAAATCTTAAAAAAATATATACATTTAAATATGTGAGATAATCACATGAATCATACGAGCATGTATACATTTTTAATAATATTCCTCAATTTTTTAAAAAAGAGGAGTTCATCATTTGAAAATCAGAATTACAGAGAGGAAAGGAGGCACGGAGTCATCAACCGGTTGAATCCCCAGATGGCTGCAAATGCCAGGCCGGGCCAGGCCAGTGCCAGGGCCGGGCCAGGCCAGTGCCAGAAGGCAGGAGCTTCATCCGGGTCTCCCGTGTGGGCGGTAAGGGCCCGAACACTGGAGCTGTCTTCTGCTGACCAGCAGGGCGATGTGTCAGACTAGAGCAGCTGGGACATGAACCAGTGCCCATATGAGATGCCAACATTATAGGCAATGGCTTTATTTGCTACGGCACGATGCTGGCTCCAATCTTAGACCACAGGGATGGTGTCCTGGCACCACACAGGATGAGCCCCTGCCCCTCCGCATTCCTACACTGCTTCTTGCTAATGAACACCCTGGGAGGCAGGAGGAGAGGGCTCAAGATCCTGGGTCCCTGCATTCACATAGGAGGAGACCCACAGATTTGGATTCCTCGGTCTAGCTGTTCTAGCCATCGGGAAGTGAATCAGCGAACTAAAGTAGATAAAAACAAATACTTTTTTTAAAGTCTATTTTTAAAATTTTTTAATTTATTTCTTTATTTTTATGATAGTTCCATAGGTTCAGGGATTTTCCCTCCCCTCCCCACTGATTTTCCCTATATTATTACATTAGCATAGTTCTTCAAAAACAGTTCTAAGTCCATCTTGCTCCTATTCAAGTGTATCCTGATGTTGGTATAGACAATGGCGGAAAGTCTAGCATCCTATTGGTCAGGATATATTTAATAGTTTCTTTGGGGATCCAGCTTTGATTTGAGAATAGACATCTTTTTGTTTATTTGTTTGTTTTTGTTTTTTTCTCTGCTAACGCTCCTTGGGAGGCAGTGGATAATGGCCCAGTACTTGGGCATCTGTTGCCACAGGAGACCCACATGGAGTTCCCCCGCTCCTGAGGGTCGGTCTGGAAGGAAACCAATGGCTGGAAGCAAGCTTGCTATAATGTTTTCAAACTAACCTTTCTTTCTTTTTTTTTTTTTTTTTTTTAAGATTTGTTTCTTTTTAGTGGAAAGTCAGATATACAGATGAGAGACAGAGAGGATGATCTTCTGTCTGGTGATTCAATCCCCAAGTGACCACAACGGCTGGAGCTGAGCCGATCTAGAGCCAGGAGTGTCCTGGTCTCCCATGCGAGTGCAGGCCCTTCGACTGCTTTCCCAGGCCACAAGCAGGGAGTAGGTTGGGAAGCAAGGGCTGCCGGGATTAGCAGGGCGCCCATAAGGGATCCTGGTGTGTGCAAGGCGAGGACTTCAGTCGCTAGGCAACTGTGCCAGGCTTCAAACTAATCATTTTTGTAAAAGTCCATTTTCGTTATTTGAACTGACCTGTGCTCCCTCAGCCACTGAACTTGTTAATTTCCACACATCCGCCGGTCTACCACAAAGCACAGGCCTTTCACTATATAACGAAAGCAACTTGTTTGTAGCAATGATCAAATTAATAACCATGCAGCAATCCAAAGCAACGCAAGAAATCACTGACATCCAGCGGGCCCGGAATCCAGCCCTGCTCAGCTCCCTGGCCGCCCCTCCTCACTGCTCAGCCCAAGCACTCCTCCACCCCGCCTGGTCACCCCAGAGGCCTTTCAGGTCGCGCCCGAGCCCGGTCCAGCTCGGGCGGACTTCCTGTGCACCCCGCCAGCAGGGCTAAGGACTAGGAGGAAAAGCAGGAGGGTTTGGGGAAACTGGCCGGAGGCGGGAGAGGCTCTAGTCATCAGGAAAAGCCCGTCACAGCCAGCAGAGCCCTGCGGGGGCAGAGGGGGCGAGCCTTGGGCTATGCCAGGGAAAGGGGTGCTCAGGATGGGGGTCTTCCCTTGCAGAGCCGTGCAGCGCCGTCCAGGAAAGAGATGGCAAAGCTTGAGGGACTAGGAGGGAGCACACCTAACCTTCAGCACGTGACCCTCCAGCAGCTGCGCCCTCAGCCCAGGCCCGCCGCCTCGGGGAGGAGGTGTCAGGGCGGGCAGGAATCCGGCGGATCAGCCATTCTCGAACGCGCGCCGCACCCCGTCCGGCCCGCGTGGACCAGGCTCCTCCCAGCCCCCGCCCCCGGCGAGGCTGAGCGCGAGGCCCCGCCCCTCCGACGCGTCTATCAAGAGATAACCGCCAGCGATTGGGCTGAGTCGGACACCTCGCTCTCTGATTGGCTTGTCGCTGGGCGGGGCGACTGGCGGAAACGGTTCCGGAAGCGGTCGGCCACGCGGGCTCGCCGCTGGAGGACGGAGCTGCAGCTGCTGCTGCCATGACCAAAATAAAGGCCGATGCGGACGGGCCGGAGGCCCAGGGCGAGGCGTGCTGCGGGGAGCGCACGTACCAGGAGCTGCTGGTTAACCTGAACCCCATCGCGCAGCCCCTGGCTTCCCGCCGCCTCACGCGGAAGCTGTACAAGTGCATCAAGAAAGGTGGGGCCGGGGCTGCCGGGATGGACGGGGCCGGGATGGACGGGGGGCTGCCGGGCGGGCCGGGGCTGACAGGGGGCTGCCGGGGAGCTACGGGGGCCTGATGGGGTGTTACCGGGGAGAGGGCTGACGGGGCTCCGCAGCCGGCGCGCTCAGCCCTCTGTTGTTGCAGCCGTGAAGCAGAAGCAGATCCGGCGCGGGGTGAAGGAGGTGCAGAAGTTTGTCAACAAAGGCGAGAAGGGGTAAGAAGCTGCCGGAGTTGCGGACCCCGTGGGCGAGGACGTGGTGGCGCTGATGGGGTCCCCGCACGCGAGGTCGGCCAGCAGCCGTTGGAGACAGGCCGGGGTCGGGCAGGGTCGCCCATGCAGGCCAGGCCAGCCGTAATCCCCTGAGCACACAGCTCTCTCCTGCCCCGGCCCTCTCCTGCCCCGTGTCCGGCACGCTGGGTGCTCGAGGGATCCCTGTCGGTAGGAGCTGGGGGTGGCTCAGAGTCAGGGGTGCTGCTCGCCTGGGGCCACCAGGGCTTTTTCCTGAGCTGTTCTAGGAGGTTCTGCACAAGAAAGTGGGCCCTGGGGCAGGACAGAAGTGCTGTGTCTCAGGAGTCTTATGAGCTGTAACTTGGGTTTTGTGCGGAGGCCGTGGAGGCTGAAAGTGACCTTGAGGTTTGGGGACAGGCCTAGGGTTAACATACTCACACCCCAGTCGCCCCACCCAGGTTGAATTCCAGTACCAGTATGCTGCTAGCGCTGACCCCAGGTGGCAGCCTGGGTGGCTTGTCACTGGGTGCTTGCCGCCCACCTGGGAACCTGCATTGCATTTGCCCCCAGGCCTTGCACGCCTCTGGGGGAGTGAACCAGATGAGTTCTCTATAAAGGCCTACATTTTCATTTGAAAGGTGAGATACAGCAAGAGGGAGGGGAAGAGAATACCTTCCACTCTTAGTTTACTCCCCAAGAGATGGGCTCATCAGGAACCAGGAGCTGTTTCTGGGTCTCCCAGGTGCGCAGGGGCCCCTGCACTGGGGCCATGCCCTGCTGCTCTCCCCTGTGCGTTGGCAGTGGAGCAGCTGGGACTTGGCCTGGCACCCGTATGGGATGCTGGCATGGCAGGCAGTGGTTTTACTCCTATACCACAATGCTGGCCCCAGTACTTCTAATCCAGCCCTCTGCCATGTGCCTAAGAAAGCATCAGAGGATGGCCCAAGTACCTGCACCCCTGCCACCCATGTGGGAGACCAGATGGAGTTCCTGGCTCCTGGCTTCTGTCTGGCCCAGCAGTTAGATCTCTGTCTCTCCTTCTGCCTGTCGAATCCCTAAGAATTCTATATAAGAAAATGTGTGGACCTGAGGGGACTTTCATCAGATTGGATGGTTGGGGGTGTGTATATGGTTTCTGGATTTGGGCAGAATGTTCTTAGAGGACAGAGGGCCTTTTTGCCTGGTCTGTGTGAAAGGTTTGGATCTAGCAGCCAGCTCTCAGGGCTGGGGACAGGCTGGGAGGTTGACCAGTCACAGCACATGGGTGGCCCCTGCCATCAGCCGGTGGGGAGGAGCAGGCTGGGTAAGCCGCCAGCAGGTGTGCGGCTGCACCGCGCTACAGCAAGCCTCTGCCTGTGGGGCTGGAATCCCGAAAAGGTGTGTTTTGGCTGTTCCACTTCCCATCCAGTTCCCTACTGATGACTTGAGAAAAGTAGCGGAAGGCGCCCCATTGTTTGGGCCCCTGGACCCAGGTGGAAGAAACGCCTGGCTGTTCACTGGCCCGGCCTGAGCATTTGTAGCCATTTGGGGAGTGAACCAGAGGATGCAAGATTGCCATCTCCCCTCTGCAATTCTGCCTCTTGTGTTTTGTTGTTGTAGTTGTTAAGATACCAGCAGTTAAAGGCTGCTGACAGAGGCCTGCAGGGCAGCACCGAAGCAAAAGCCAAGCAGGAGAGTAAAGGCAGTGTTTTAAACCACCCCGTGCCGGGAAACGCATGACCTTGCTGGCCGAGGACTGTGGCGGGTTGTGGCTACTCCTGGCCACTCTTGGGACACAGCCAAGGTTTTAGCAGGGCCCTTGGGTATGTCCTGTGCCACTCTTCCCAGCCTTGCTCCCTCCCCCATTCTGACGCCCAGCGCCATCCAGTCCTGTGGAGCTGGTGCCATTGGAATGTCAGCCTCCTACTTTCCCCATCCTTGCCCGTCTAGGGGCAGTGTAGCACACAGGTGGCATTCAGCTTCCCACCCAAGTGTCTGTAGGAGCAGATGGATAAATCTGAAAGAACACCTGGATAAGATGGAGAGCACCTCCCTAATAAAGTTTGTGTCCCCTCAGGCTGATAAACCATCTCTGCAGCCCCACGGCCCAGCCCAGAAGTTAAGGTGGCACTTGACTTACGGAGTGGGGACAAGCTAGAAATGACAGTGGATGCTCTCATTTCAGGATCATGGTTTTGGCAGGAGACACACTGCCCATTGAGGTATACTGCCACCTCCCAGTTATGTGTGAGGACCGGAATCTCCCTTACGTGTACATCCCCTCGAAGACGGTAAGGGGCACAGCCTTGGGGAGAGGGCTCAGGGGACGGGGGCCCGCAGCGGCACAGAGTGGGAAGAACTCGAGGAAAGCCGGGCTGTGGAGATGGATGGCACTGGTGCCACTGCTCCCAAGCTCTGGGACTGTAGACTGCGGTCCAGTTCCTGTCTTACGAGGATCCTCTCCCGTGGACTATGAGAAAGAAAACAGACGTACGTGAACCTGCTAGCCCGGCTCTGCATTCATGCTCAGAGGGACTGTTCGCGGGCACAGGGAGTCAGGGATGGCCGGGAGCAGCTCCCGCTGCACTGGAGCCGTCACAGTGGCATTGTGGGGCTGTAGGCCCAGTGTCACTGGACCGTGGCTTGAGTATTTACTGGTTTAAATGATGGCAACCAAACGATTACATATGAAGCACACCCAAGGGAACAAACTGTGGGGCCAGGTTAAGCTGGTGAATCATTACCAGTTTGCGATTCCCTGTAGTTTGTGTGGCTTTCCCTGCGCCCCCCAGACGGTCCTTCTCTTCCTTCCTTGTAGGACCTGGGTGCAGCTGCAGGTTCCAAGCGCCCCACCTGTGTGATCATGGTGAAGCCCCACGAGGAATACCAAGAAGCCTACGACGAGTGCCTGGAGGAGGTGCAGGCCCTGCCCTCCCCCCTCTGAAGGACTCAGCAACCTGGGACTGTACCTTCCTGCTGCCCACTGGCCTAGCATGGCCCCGGCTCCCGGGCGATGGGATCCTCCGAGGCAGCACCTACCTGCCAGCTGTGTGTGAAGGTGGGGCTGGTACCTTTGCCATCAGGGCTGCGTCCTGCTGAGCTTAAATGGATACAGCTCCAAGAGCGTGGGCTGGGGGAGTAAATGCCAAGACTAGTGTGGTGAGTCCGTGGGTGTTGTATGAAGCAGCAGCTACTGGTGCGGCCAAGGAGTTGCCGGGCGGGAAAGAGGGGAAACAGACTTCTCACCTAAGACCCAAAAGACCTGCAGCGCCCAGGGCCGGAGCAGTGCTCCAGCCGACAGCCAGCTGTGCCCACGTCAGAACCTTTCAGCAGTGACTTTCAGGGTAGGTGGAGGCACAGTGCAACCCCCATCCCACCTGCAGCTTCTTTCCCGGGTGTCCTCATTCCTCTTTGTTCCGCCCCAGGAGATTTCGGTGCCACATGGAAACTAGGGAAGCAATTTGTCCACCCACTCACTAAATTTTAAATAGGAAACCACAGCTAAATACAAATCCTCATGCCGCTGGCCTTGAAAACCCAGTCCCTCCCAGCACTTTAGCCTTTAGTTCCCTTTCTGATGCCAGAGACCCCTTAAGACTTCCTACTCACTGCACCTGGGGTGGTGGTCACGGCCAGCTTCCAGATTTCCCCTAAAGTGGATGCAAATTGGGTGCTTTCAGCCTGGGCGGTGACCGGCTGTGCCCACACCATGCCCAGTACCTGTCTGTAGTAGACATGGCAATCCCTGCTGCAAAAATCTAGACAGGCAGAAGGAAGGAGGGCTGGGAATATATTTGGTCAAAGTTATAAAACAACGGCATTCAGTGCTAACTTGGACTATGTACAGTGGAGGCTGAGGAGGAACAGGAAGCTGGCCGCAGCTGGATGCCCCTGGGCTGAGCAGCTCAAGGGACAGAGGCTTGGCCTGGCTGAGACAGCTGCTGGCTAGGTCCTGTGCTACTAAATCAAAGACGTATAAACAGCAGGTGTATACAGTCCAGCATCTCCCTCATGGCCAAGGGCCAACTGGCCCACGTGGGTGGGTTCCCTCTTCCGTGACCCCGGCAGGCTGCACATCCACCGCTCACGGAAAGCCAGTTCCGCCCACCGAGTTCGCCCGTGGCTCCTGGGAGAAAACCACCTCCAACAAGTTCCGGGCAGGAATCAGAATATGATGCGTTTCCCGTCAGCTGGATTCTGCTCCATGGGACAGTAGGGACACTTGAGCCTGTCAAGGGAGGAGAACCAGGAACACCTCAGGGATGGCCAGCAGGAACACCAGGCCAAGAGGGAGGTGCCACAGGGAACTTACTTTCCTCCGTTAATGAGCTTGTTGAGGGCATCTCGGGAGATCACGTGACCACAGATGAGCTTGATGGGAGGGTTGGAATCCGAGGTCTGCTGGCGGAGGATGGGGCAGGCAAACACCGAGTGGTACCAGCACTTCATGCCTAATTCAATCTCAATCTAGGGAGGCCAGCGGAGAGGTGAGTCCACCCCCCCGTCCAGGCTGTCCTCCGTGGTGCTGCCTTCTGCCTGTCCCCACCCCCGCCTCACCGGCAACTCATCCTTGTGGCTCCAGACCCCGCTGCACTGCCTCTGCTCGATCACAGCCTTGATGTTCATCAGCACGGGTAGCGCCACGCAGCCAGAGGCAAAGCTGCAATGGAGCAGGGGTGGGACGAGTCAGACCGCAGGACCCAGCACACAGCAGCAGCACTGGGCGCTCAGGCCTGGAGTCAGTCCCCAAGTGCCTCAGACTGCGCGCCAAGTGCCACAGATGTAGTCGGCTATGGCCAACACAAGAGCCATTCTGACATGTTTCTAGACTTGAGAATCCCTGGGAAAGACAAACTGAAGCTCCAGGGGTGGATACCTGCTTGGGCAGCCATGCTAAGTCACCTGTGGGCCTAGGAGTGCAGCCCCCTGCAGGAGTTCCTGGTCTGTCGTAACACACACCTTGACCTGCGGCTGTCGGGCCAGGAAAAGCCACTGCGTGGGGGTATCTGCACGCCTCACTGAATCACACCTGCCCCACATTTTGGTCCAGCTTCCCACCAACATACTCGGGAGGTAGCAGGGAACAGCCTAGGTACTTGTTTGTCCCTCGCAGCAAACCCAATGCGGTTTCTGGCTGCTGGTTCTAGACTGGCTTAGTCCTGGCTGGCTGGAGGCATTCAGTAGGACAGAGACCATGACACCTCAAAAATAAGAAGACCAACTAGGACACTTCAAATGGTGGAGGGGAGAGGGTGGGCGCTTGACAGAAGTTATGATGCTACTTGGGGTTGATTCTGGTGTAGTGGGTAAAGCCGCTGCTGTGGGCACTGGTCAAATACCAGCTCCCTGCTGATGCGCCCTACACCCACACAGGCGGCCCTGAGGAAGCTCCTGGCTTTGGAATGGCCCAGCTCTGGCTGTTGCAGTTATTTGGGGAATGAACCAGTGGATAGAAATTTTCTGTTTTTCTCTCTAGCTGCCTTTCGAATAAATACATCTTAAAAACACAAAACAGCGCTGTAGAATGCTTGCATCCTGGGTTCCTGTGCTGGCCGTGCTGACTCCAGCTTCCTGCTGCTCATACCCTGAGGCAGCAGGTAGACGGCTCAGGCGACTGGGCCTGCCAAGCACAGGGGAGTTCTGGCTCCTGACCCAGCCTGAGTCTGGGCTGTTGGCAGGCATGTGCAGGAATGCCACTTGGGTAGAGTTCTGCCTTGAAGTTAGAAACTAAACACAAAAAAAGCCAGTCCGAGTGCATTACAGGGCGAGGGCTGCTGTTGTGCAGCCCGAGATCCTGCGTCAGAGTAACGATTAAAGTCCTGGCTGTGCTGCTCCAGATCCCTGCTCATACGCCTGGGAAACAGCAGAAGGTAGCCTGCGTGCTCGGCCCTCCCCACCCATGGTGGAGTTCCTGGCAGCTGGCTTTGGCACGGCCCAGGCCTGGTTACTGTGATCCTTTAGAGAGAGAGAGCCAATGGACTGAAGATCTGTCGTTCCTCTGTCACTAACTTTCAAATAAATCTTAAAAAAAGAAAAAAAGGTAGAATTCAGTTGCTCAGACACGAGGCACAGAGTACAGTAGGATCTGTGTCCCACAATAATGCCATCCAGAGAAGCAGCGGTGCTCCTGCTGGGAAGTCCTACAGCTGAATGCACGGCCAGAGTCCGCGGGTAACGGCTGACAGCCCACAGGCGGTGGACCACTGTGGCAGTGTGAGGTTCTGGGGTCGGTTCAAGTGCCTCTCCATGAGGCCCCGGGTAAGTTCATCTCATGAACTTCCCGCCACCGTCTGTGAGATGAGGAGGAGGATACTGCCCAGCTCCTAACAGGAGATTTGCATACTGCTCAGGGACTCCCTGGGGCAGGGGGAGGGTCTGACAAGGCCCTGAGGACAGTGGCTGCAGGGAAGCGCTGGCTGTAATCTAGGGGCGCACACAGGCAGAGGCTTCAGGGCTTCAGTCCAGAGACCTTATACAATGGGAACCCTGACTTCGGGGTGAAATCGGGCTTTAACTTAACCATCTTGGTTTTCCTAACAATAAAAACAGGCTATTCGTATCTCAGAGTGCTAAGGGTTCAGTCCATCAAAGCATCCAGCAGCGTTTCTGACCCATGACAGGACCCTGGAAAGCTATCCTGTGCTCCCTGCCCTCCCGGGGCCAGGTGTACCTGACACTGAGTGGGGACTCCACAGAAAGCCCCAGCAGTGAGCATGCGTCCCGCGTGAAGGTCTCGCAGATCTCCGCCCAGTGGCTGTTGTCCAGGAGGTGGCAGTAGGGTGACTTCTCCAAGCCCAGCCTCAGATACACAAGACTGCCCATCATCACCTGGATCTCTGCAAGGCAAGGAGTATAGCACAGCTCAGCAGGTGCTGGGCTCCGGGTGCAGCCCTCAAAGGGGATGGCACAGCACAGCTCAGCAGGTGCCGGGCTCCGGCGCAGCCCCAAAAGGGGATGGCACGGCACAGCTCAGCAGGTGCTGGGCTCCAGGCGCAGCCCCCAAAGGGGATGGTATGGCACAGCTCAGCAGGTGCCAAGGCTCCAGGTGCAGCCCCCAAAGGGGATGGTATGGCACAGTTCAGCAGGTGCCAGGGCCCCAGGTGCAGCTCCCTAGGATGGCACAGCACAGCAGGCGCCAGGGCTCTAGGCGCATCTAAGGGGATGGCACAAACTGTCTCTGTGGGTGGTAGACAGGCAGGGGAGTCCCCTGACAACTCTATGCTTTCGGTTGTATGGCCGAGCCAGTCTCAGGTTAGTACTGATGTCTGTTCACCAACTCGGGCTTACTGCCCTCCAACATGGCAGATTCTGGGAGGCGGCAGCACCTAGCTAAAATCTGCCATCACTGCCTGTTTTTCCACATTTATTTTTTAAATAAAACTGGATAGTGCTAAGGATGTGTGGAGCTGAGACAGTCAGGCAGTAACACTGGTAAGTATCCAACAGCAGCTCGAAATCCTGCTGGGAAGGAAGGGGCCCCCAGGGGAAGCGCTCCGAGTTTCAAAGGAGCTGGGCTCTTCCTGGTAGGGAGATGATGGGGCGCATGATAGAGATCTGGGGGGACCGGAGGTGGTCTGAGATGAAGGGCTTTTGTTCTGGAGCTCACCTTGGAGATAAGAAGGGCTCAAAGCCGTTCTATCAGGGAATGGAGGAAAGATCAGAGACAGCTGGTTAACACACAGCCCCACCGAGATGCAGAGACTGCGCTGCCGTGACTGCCGCGCACCCACCTGCGGCAGCCTGGCACTCACCGCTCTGGTGCAGGTGTGCGAAGGGCTGGAAGTGCCGGGCATAGCTGAGCGCCTCAAGCTGCTTCTCGGGGCCACCTGCCAGGAGGCAGATGAAGTGCAGGCGGTGCAGCTTGAACTCCAGGGAGCTGTTGAGCTCTAGCAGGCGCTGCCTGTGGGACGCGGCCCATCTGGGAAGAGAGGGGCGTGGTTCAGCATGGCACTGCTAGAGGCCAGAAAAGCGAGGCAGCCCCTGAGCCAAGACAGGAGACGGATCAGGGACGTCTGGGTGAAATGAAGACCACAGATAAGCCTGTGCCCTGGCAAGTGGGGACAGAACGGCTCCTGGTCCACCCACAGAGCTCCTTACTCTAGCGCAGGCCCCAGGTCTTGCTCGTGCAGAGCTTCCAGGATTCGATTCAGCTCCAGGAAAGGCTTCTTGAAACCCAAGTCCACATTCAGGGTCGATTCCTGGTGGAGGGAGAGAGAGGCCCCTGTTGGAAGATAATGTTCCCACGATTCTGTCGTGCACACAATGAAGCTGCGTCTACCAAAGACAGGCACAAGCAGACACGGTGCCCTGCTGGCTGCCTGGGCCCTCCTGTTCCCCTTTCGTTTCGGAGAGGCCAGTGGGACTGACCAGCTGACCTCCCAGAGTGGACTGGCAACCCCCACCTCCCGACCACAGCACCAGAGACTGTCCCTGGGTCTGACATCAGGCCAAGTCTGGTTTTTCCTGACACTATTCTTCCTCTAAAAGATGTATGTATTTCCTCCGAATGTAAGTGACACAGAGAGAGAGAGAGATCTGCCATCCGCTGGTTCTCTCCCCAGATGGAAGGGCTGAAGCCAGGAGCCTGGAATTCCATCCAGGTTTCTCCCACTGGATGGCAGGATCCCAAGTCCTTAGGCCATGGCCCACTGCCTTCCCTGGTGCAACAGAGAGGCAGGGTGCCAGGCAAGGAATGTGGCTTAACCAGCTCCACAACACGTGACCCGGTGAGGCAAGAGCCTTGGCAAACTCCATGGCTCTTTTTCAATAAACACATGTTAGGGCTCAGCTCAAACTGTGGCTGGCAACCAACTCTAACTAGACATTAGTTTGCTTTACTTTTCATTATATTTTAATAAAGATTTCATTTATTTGAAAGGCAGAGTTGCAGAGTGAGGCAGAGGTGGAGAGAGACCTTCCAACCCACCCCTCAAACAGCTGCATCTGCCAGGGCAAAGCCAGCAGCCAGGAGCTTCATCCAGGTTTCCTGTGTGGGTGCAGGGTTCCAGGCACCTGGGCGATCGTCCACTGCCTTCCCAGGCACAGTAGCAGGGAGCTGGATGGGAAGTGGGGCAGCTGGGACCCAAGCCCTTGCCCATATGAGATGCTGGCGCTTCAGGCAGCAGTTTAAGCTGCTGTACCACACTGTGGGCCCCTCGTAACGTATTTTTATAGCGTATTTTTATAACGTATTTTTATATCTTCTATTTATGGTTTCCCTACTAAAGCAAGTGTATTTAAAGAGAAAAAGGGATTTAATGTCAAGAAAACTAACAGGTAAAGAGCAGAGGGTCTGGCACTGCAACCTAGTGGTTAAGAGTCCTTGCCTTGCATGCGCCAGGATCCCATTATGGGCACTGGTTTGTATCCTGGCTGTTCCACTTCCTACACAGCTCCCTGCCTGTGGCCTGGAAGAGCAGTGGAGGACGGCCCAAAGCCTTGGAACCCTGCACCTGCGTGGGAGACCCGGAAGAAGCTCCTGATTCCTAGCTTGGAATTGGCTGAGCTCCAGCCATTGTGGCCACCTGCTGAGTGAACCAGCGGATGGAGGATCTTCCTCTCTGTCTCTCCTGTCTGTAAATCTGCCTTTCTAATATAAATAAATCTTAAGCAAACACACAAAAGAACAGAACAGGCAGGTTCTCCCAGCCTGGACTGCCCCATCGGGCCCACTGGGTGGTGTCACTGTTACCTGGCACAGCTCCTCGGCCACGCTGAGCATGCCCTGCTGGTACAGGTGCTCCACAATGGCCATCTGCAGGATCTGCTGCTGCTGCTCCCGCGAGTCCCACACTGCGTCGGAGACGACACCGCAGATCTCTGAGTCAAAGTTCTGGCAAGGAGGAGAGACAGGGTCCTGTGATGGGGGCACCCACGAGCTGCCCTGCCACACTAGCCCGGGAGTATCCCCAGCCCAGGCCTGGGGCCACGCAGCACTCACCCTGTCGATGGCTTTACCCACTCGGGACACGCTGCTGTGAATGTCCTTGTGGTCTGAAGCCAGTTTTTGCACGGTGTCTTTGATCTTGCGGCAGCACTGGGACATCACGAGGGAGAGGGTGGCCGAGAGAGGGCTGCCCTGAAGGGCTGCGGGAACAGTGGTGAGATGGTCAGACGCGGGCAGGCAGTGCTGAGCGTGTCTCCCCAGCAGCCCTTTGTCGGCAGGAGCGGGGCAGGCAGGGCGTGGAGAGACCCTCCAGGGGCTGTGTGAGCCCTCAGATGTCCACAACAGCCAGGATCAGGCCAAGCTACAGCCGGGAAGCAGGACCAGGGGCTGCACCCGGGCCACCCAAGTGGGCGACAGGACCACCATCTGCTGCCTTCTCAGGTGCATCCGCAGGAAGCGAAGCGACGAATATGCAAACAGACCCTCTGCTTCGGAAGGCGGGCCTCCCAAGTAGCAGCTTAACCTGCTGTACCACAACTTCTACCCTGGCTCCACCCCCCCTCTTTTTTTAAGAGTTTATTTATTAGAAAGGCAGAATTATAGACAGTGTGGGTGAGAAAGAGAGAAAGAGACATGGAGAGACACCTTCCGTTCCGCAAATGGTTTCAAGAGTTAGGGCTGGGTGAGACTAAGGCTGGGAGACAGGAGCTTCATCCAAATGTCCCACGTGGGTGCAGGGACCCAAGCTCTTAGGGCATCTCCCATCATTCCAGGACACACCAGCAGGGAGCTAGGGCAAAGACAGAGCGGCTGGGACTTGACTGGTGCCCAGTTGGAGAGTGGCACTGCAGGCAGCAGTCTAACCAACAACATCATAACACTGACCGCCCCCTGCCAGCCAGCCCATTTTCCATATGATTTATAGCTGATCAAGTGAGGAAAGTCAGCTATCTTCATTTCCTGGTTTATATATATATATAATTTTTATAAAATACATAATACATATATTTATAAGGTTTATACATATTTAGATATATTATATATAATTATACATATATAAAATATATATGTGGCAAGCACGGTAGTGAAGCACACTTAACCTTCACTTGTGGTGTCAGCATCTGCCACACTGGCACCAGTTCTAATCCCAGCAGTTGCACTTCCAACCCAGCTCCCCGCTACAGGCCTGGGCTTTCCTGGACCCAAAAATAAATACATTTTAAAAAGCTTCAAGTTGGGCCTGGCACTATGGTTCAGTACCTAAGTCCTCATCTTTCATGTACATACTGGGATCCCGTACAGGTGCCAGTTCGTTTGTGTCCCGGCTGCTCCACTTCCGATCCAGCTCCCTGCCTGTGGCCTGGAAAGGCAATGGAGGACGGCCCAAAGCCTTGGGACCCTGCACCCGCGTGGAAGACCCGGAGGAGGCTCCTGGCTCAAGGCTTTAGATTGCGTCAGCACTGGCCATTGCGCTCACTTGAGAAGTGAATCAGCAGATGGAAGATCTTCCTCTCTGTCTCTCCTCCTGTGTGTATGTGACTTTCCAATGAAAAATAAAATACATAAATCTTAAAAACAAATCCAACATCAGAGCTGAGATAATTAAAGCCAGGAGCTTCTTACATGCCTGTCATGTGTGTGCAGGGACCCGGGGCCTTGGACCGTCCTCCACTGTTTTCCAAGGCCACAAGCAGGGAGCTGGGTGGGAAGTGCAGCAGCTGGACACAAACTGGTGCCCGTAAAGGATCCCAGCACATGGAAAGAGAGGATTTAGCCACTAGGCTAACATGCTGGGCCCCACAAATAAACAAACATTATAAAAAGTCTGAAGTTTTTTTTTTTTTAAAGATTTTATTTGAAACTCAGAGTTACAGAGATAAGGACAGAGAACCCTTCAAGTCAATGGATTGTTCAAGTGGCCACAATGGGCCAGAACTGGGCCAGTCTGAAGCCAGGAGCTGGGAACTTTCCAGCTGGGGACAAGGGCCTAAAGACTAAGTCTATCTGCTGCTGCTTTCCCAGGCGCATCAGCAGGGAACCAGCCTGGAAGTGGAACAGCTGGGCCTCGAACCGATTGCCCATATGGGCACATGCAGAGGTTAACATACTATGCCGCAGCACCAGCCCCAAACTACTGATTTTAAGATTTCTTTTAGTGGCCAGCATTGTGGCATATGGAGTTAAGCCGCTGCCTGTAATGTTAGCACCAGCTGCTCCTCTTGCAATCTGGCTCCCTGCTGATATGCCTGGGAAGGCAGCAGAAGATGGCCCGAGTGCTTGAGCCCTTGCTACGCATGTGGGCGCCCTGGACGAAGCTCCTGCCTTCACCTTGGCACAGCCTCAGCCATGGTGGCCATCTGATGGGACAGCCTCTGTTTCTCCTTGTCCGTTAAGTCTTTCCAATTTGACAGTCAAGTTAGTAAAGTGTTCATACAGGGGCTGATGTGGTAGTACAGCACGCTAAGCTTCCGTATGCAGCACCAGCAGCTCATAGGGGGGCCGGCTTGAGTCTCAGTTGCTCCACTTCCCGTCCATCTCCCTGGTAATTAATGCAAATGGGAAAGCAGTGGGGGGTGACCCAAGTTTCTTGGGTCGCTGCACCCACATGGGAGACCCAGAAGCTCCTGGCTTCATATTGGCTCAGCTCTAGCTGTTGTGGGCATTTAGGGAGTGAGCAGGATGGAAGATCTCCCTCTTTCTGTTTCTCCTTCACCGTAAATCTGCCTTTCCAATCAATACATTTTTTTAAAAGATTTATTTATTTATTGGAAAGTCAGATATACAGACAGGAGGAGAGACAGAGAGGAAGATCTTCTGTCCAATGGTTCACTCCCCAAGTGAGCACAACGGCCGATGCTATGCTGATCCGAAGCCAGGAGCCAGGAACTTCCTCCGGGTCTCCCACACGGGTGCAGGGTTCCAAAGCTTTAGGCTGTTCTCGACTGCTTTCCCAGGCCACAGGCAGGGAGCTGGATGGGAAGCAGGGCTGCCGAGATTAGAACCAGTGCCCATATGGGATCCCGGGCGCATTCAAGGCGAGGACTTTAGCCACTAGGCCACGCCGCCAGGCCCTGCAATCAATACATCTTATAACATAGACATTCCCAAAAGCTTACAGGTGAGGCAGCATTACTGGTGATCATAGAACCCAGTTGTTAGATTCCCCAACCACCAGGGAGGGACACATCAGCCACGTACAGAAAAGAATGGAGATGGCCTTTATTCCAGGGCCCCGCGGTCACGGGCTGCCCTTCCCCGCGCAGCAGGGACAGTTGTGAAGGAAGGAACTACAGAGGAGGAAGAGCCAGGAAGAGTCGTGCAAGGGAGTTTCACACCCCCCCCCCCCACAAGGGAGCTGAAGTGGGGGTTGCTTCGGCCCTTATTTGGTGGGGAATACTGGTTTGTGTCCGTAACTGGTGCGCGGTGACCCCGCTGCCTGAGGAACATGCCAGAATTGCGCTGGCCCTTCTGGGCTGTGGCCAGAGACCGGCTGGAAGCAGACTCTGCCCTCCTCCGGTCACCGTGGCAACCATCACCAATGTCTGTCCACTCACGGATTAACAACAGGTGGTACATCTACACGCTGGGATAGTGTCAAATCATAAAAGAGAAACGAAGTTTTGACACAGTCTACAACAGGAATGAACCTTAAAATATCAAGCTAGGACCTGGCACGGTAGCCTAGCGGCTAAGGTCCTTGTCTTAAATGCTCTGGGATCCCATACGAGCACCAATTCTAATCTCGGCAGCCCCGCTTCCCACCGAGCTCCCTGCTTGTGGCCTGGGAAAGCAGTCGAGGACGGCCCAAAGCCTCGGGACCCTGCACCCGTGTGGAAGACCCGGAAGAGGTTCCAGGAACACTAGCTTCAGATCAGACCAGCTCGGGCTATTTTAGCCACTTGGGGAGTGAATCAATGGATGGAAGATCTTCCTCTCTGTCTCTCCTCCTGTCTGTATATCTGACTTTCCAATAAATAATAAATAAATCTTTAAAAAAAGAAACCCATCATGCTAGTGAAGGAAACCCAACACAAGGCCACGGCCAAGTACTCTATCAGCCGGCCTGTGTGAAGTGCCCAGAGGATTAAATTAGCTGACAGAAAGTGGATTAGCGGCTGCCAGGGGCTGGGCAGACGGGCAGGCAGCAACTGTCCACGGGCTGGGTCTCTTGAAGGATGATGCAATGTTTTATAATTAGGCAGCGGCAATGATTATACAACTGTACGTATGCTACAAACCAGAGCTGTACATGTTATTTTTTTTTAATATTTTTTTTTATTAGACAGGCAGATCAGATTTACAGAAAGAAGGTGAGACAGACAAAGATCTTCACTTCTCATATGACCACAGTGGCCAGAGCTGAGCTGATCAAAAGAAAGAAGCTTCTTCCAGGTCTCCCACACGTGCGCAGGGTCCCGAGGCTTTGGGCCGTCCTCCAAAGCTTTCCCCGGTCACAGGCTGGGAGCTGGATGAGAAGTGGACAGGAACCGACACTCATATGGGAGGATTAGCCAACTGAGCCATTGTGCTGGGCCCAAGAGCTGTACGCTTTAAAAGGGCAAGGTTAATGCTGGCTCAAAAAGAAAAAGAGACAAAAGAACCTGAGTTTCCTGGTTCAAATCCAAGACAATCAGAAACTGCACCTGCCTAGGAGACGTGGAAGAAGTTCCTGGCTCCTGGCTTCAGATCAGCTCAGCTCTAGTCATTGGAAGCGTTTGGGGAGTGAGCTAATGGCTGGAAGTTCTTTCTGCCTCTACTGTCTCTCTAAAAGCTGTTATAGTGAATTATGAACTATTGAGTAAGGACCTATGAGACTGAAGTGATGGCAGATGAAGCAGAGGAAAGCATCTTTGTTACAACTGAAGGCCGACTTACACACGCTCAGGGCATCGGGGGGCAGGAAGTCTGCCAGGCGATCACTGAGGCAGGCACCCATCACTGGGTGCTGCCACTCAGGGACCTGCAGTGAAGCACCTGGCTACCTCACCTTAGCCAAAAGGATCAAATAAGCACAAGCAACAACGCAACTCGCTGATATCACACACCTCCCGGCATGACGCACGGACAGGCATACTACCTCCTAAACGCGCCGGGCAAGGAGTGACCACATGAATGCCGAGGGGACATTCAAATCCAAATGGAGATGGCCACAAAACAGCTGGCCGTGCTTCTACAAGAACACCAACATCACGAAAGATGAAAGAAGGTGGGTTTAAAAATTGAGGCTTAGATGGGAGCAACTCAATGTGCACGGCCTGGGGCTGGATCCTGTACTGTAAAATACGGTGTTTGAAAATCTGTATACATAGCTGAGTGGCTAAATCCTCACCTTGCATGTGCCCGGGATCCCATATCAGTGCCCGTTTGTGTCCCGGCTGCTCCACTTCTCATCCAGCTCCCTGCCTATGGCCTGGGAAAGCAGTCGAGGACGGCCCAGAGCCTTGGGACCCTGCACCCGCGTGGGAGACCTGGAGGAGGATCCTAGCTCCTGGCTTTGGATCAGTGCAGAACCGGCCGTTGCAGTCACTTGGGGAGTGAATCAGTGGTAGGAAGATCTTCCTCTCTGTCTCCCCTCCTGTCTTTATATCTGACTTTGCAATAAAAATAAAATAAATCTAGAAAGAAAAAAAGAAAATTCTTAGGGCCTGGCGCTGTGGGATAACATGCTACAGCTCTACCTCTGGCAGCACCAGCATCCCAGATGGCTGCTGGTTCAAGTTCAACTGCTCCACTTCCAACCCAGTTCCCTGCTAATGTGCCAGGGGAAGTAGCAGAAGATGGTCCAAGTGGAGCCCTGGAAGAGGCGTCTGGCTTCAAACTTGCCCAGCTCCAGCTGCTATGACCAATCGGGGAGTGACCCAGTGGCTAGAAGATCTTTCTGTCTTTATCTTTCCTTCTCTCTCCGTAACTCTGCATTTCAAATAAATAATTAAACAAATATATATATATATAAAGATTTATTTTATTTTTTATTGCAAAATCAGATATACAGACAGGAGGCGAGAAAGTGAGAAAGATCTTCCATCTGATAATTCACTCCTCAAGTGACCACAATGGTCCGAGCTGAGCCGACCCAAAGCCAGGAGCCAGGAGCTTCATCTGGGTCTCCCATGAGGGTGCAGGAACCCAATGCCCTGGGCCGTCCTCAACTGCTCCCCCAGGCCAGGCCCTCCAGAAATTTGCTTTTAAAAATATATATATTTAGGGCTCAGTGTGGTGCCTTGAGGCTAAAGTCCTCGCCTTGAATGCGCCAGGATCCCATTGCGTGCTGGTTCTAATCCCGGCAGCCCAGCTTCCCATCCAGCTCCCTGCCTGTGGCCTAGGAAAGCACCCTGCACCCGCATGGGAGACCCGGAAGAAGCTCCTGGCTCCTGGCTTTGGATTGGCTCAGCTCCGGCCATTGCGGTCACTTGGAAAGTGAATCATTGGACAAAAGATTTTCCTCTCTGTCTTTCCTCTGTATATCTGACTTCCAGTAAGAATTCTCAAATAAATAAATAAAAGCAATTTCTGGAGCATAAATGAAATATAAACTGTAGTCATCAGGTGCAATTATGTCACTGTTTCACTTCCTGTTTTTTGCTTCATTTTTTGCTTTTATTGGAAAGACAAATTTAGAGAGAGGAAAAAGGTCTTCCATCTGCTGGTTCACTGCCTGAGTGTCTGTAACAGCCAGAGCTGAGCCGAGCCGAAGCCAGGAGCTTCTTCCGGGTCTCCCATGCAGGTGCAGGGTCGCAAGGCTTTGGGCCATCCTCGACTGCTTTCCCAGGTAGTGGAGCAGCCAGGACATGAACCGGCACCTGAGGTAGGGATTACCCAGTTGGGCCAGCGTGCTAGCCCCCGCTTCCTGGCGTTCTCATGATTCTGTACCTGTGTGACAGAATGCCCTGCCCCCTGCAAACATACACTACAGCTGTAACGTAGGAGTTCAGTAGCTGCAGCTCACTCTCAAATGCTTACAGAGCAGCACACGAGAAAACGATACAGCAAGCACAGTAACTTTTTAGCATCTGGTGGGCCTGGCTGCAGGGCATGCTATTCTTAGAAGCTTTTCATCAATTTGAAATTAGCTTAAAACATCTTCTAAGTTAAAAACAGAAATGCAAATTGAAGACAGAATGTGAAAGGAAGAAATCTGCGGGAAATTAATGTTCTGTCGGGATTCTGGAAAGGGCAGAGTCGGTGTTGTCACCATTGCCAGCCATCCTGCTTGCTCGGCTTTGTCACGGTAGCCCCGGGTCTCCCATGGGTGGGCAGACACCCACCTGCGTTGGCCAGCTCCGCCCGCAGCTGGCTCACGTAGTGCAGCAGCTCTTCCAGGCTCTGCTCGCAGTGCTGTCCATAGGTCAGGAACTTCTGCAGGACCCTGTCCAGCTCTCGCTCCACGCACGCACACTGCTCCATGGTGGCCTGTCTGGGGAAGGTCAAGTGTCAGGCCCCAGCAAGGACAGGGTGGAACAGTTCTGGGGGGGGGGTCCCCAGATCATGCTTCATATCCCTCTCTCCCCACTGCTTTATCAAATACAAAACTCAGAAATGCCCAGCTTAACCGATCTGTCCCTTCTCCCCTCCCTCTCACCACGGTAGGCAGCAGCTGGCGCAGCTGGCGTGAGGACAAGGGTTTTGTGAACGGGGCAGGACAGCAGGCCTCGCAGGGCTCCCAGGCAGCAGTAGGATCTGTCTAGACACCGTCACATGGCCACTGTCCTTATTTCAGATGTTGTGGTGTGTTCATGTCAGCCATATTCTCACAGTGGGATTGCTTTCCCATGTATTACCTTGAGACAGGCCCTGAAGGCAGCCCTCGAATGGCTTGCCCCTTGGAAAGGCAGCTCCGGGAATAACTGCCAATCATGTGGGCCTGAGGGACCCTGCCCACCAGTCCAAATGGAACCACCTCTCTGCTGCGCAGGGATGGGCACCGGCTGTGCACCAGCCAGAGCCGTAGCTTGCTCACAGCTGTGCCCAGGGCAATGTGCCTTCCTTTCCTTCGTGTGCTCTGCGCCCCCTCACCTTCTCCACTGTTCACGAAGCTGGCACTCAGCTCACACGTGGCCTCCTTCAGCAGCTGGCTCCCCAGCTCTCACACTGCCTGCCTCCACACAGGCCATTCCATGCCCGTCCTCCCTTGGCACCACTCCCCATCCTTCCTGGGTACCACTCCCCATCCTCCCTGGGCACTGCTCCCCGTCCTCCCTGGGTGCCACTCCCCGTCCTCCCTGGGTACCACTCCCCATCCTCCCTGGGCACCTCTCCCTGTCCTCCCTGGGTGCCACTCCCCGTCCTCCCTGGGTACCACTCCCCGTCCTCCCTGGGTGCCACTCCCCGTCCTTCCTGGGCACTGCTCGCCCTCCATGTCAAAGAAACCTCTGACACTGAACACCTGGACAATCCTTGAAATGTAGAGAGTCCATTTCTGTCCCCTTCCATTTGAAATGAGCAGTCTCTCACCTGGCCCCAAGTGTTCATTCTTCCCCAGAGTCTAAGGTACCAACACAGAGTCCTGCGTCCCCACTGACCGCTGGGGTCCTCCTGCTGCCAGCAGACCCTTCCTCACTCCTGCCAGCCCTGCCGGTCTTTGCCTCACTGCCATAGCCTGCCAGTCCCTGGGCCTTGGCATGGTTCACATGCCCTATCTTACAGCTGATGCCGTGACACTGGGTGTCCACGCAGCACCCCTGGACGTGACGTTATGGGCAAAATCTAACAGGGGCTCCTCTGCCTGAGTGATGTGCAATTCATTAGTTACTGTTAAGAGCTAGGCATCTTGTGAGGGCTTATTAAGTGCCGGGCACGGTTCTACCAACTTTGCATTAACTCATTTAATTCTCACAAACACACAAGAGGCAAGTGTGATTAGTAGACGAGAACGTGAGACAGAAAGATTCAGTTGCCCAAGGACACGCGGTGGCAACTGAGGCCAGGCCGCCAGGCTGCAGTGGCCTCCTTGGGAGTATCCAGCATTACAGGGTTCTCACGCCCAGGTCTCAGGCCAGACCACCACTGCGCCGCGAGAGGAAGGCAGCAAATATTTGTCGTTGGGGTGAGTGTACACCAACCATGAATGACGACAGGAACAGGAACTTCAGCACGGAGCCAGTGAGAATGATCAACTGGGGAAGATGCAGAACAAAAGAATGTTTGCCAAGCGTCTGGGAACCAGAGTCAGAAATTTCACAAAAGCACGCACAGGCCAAGAGAGGGCAGGATGACCCCACCGAGGCTGAACGGGCTGGGTCAGGGCGTGCTGTGGCACACAGGGTGCAGCCCCCACCTGCAGCGCTGACATCCTGTGAGTGCCGGCTGGCATCCTGGCTGCTCCACTTCCGGTCCATCTGTGCTGACGGCCTGGGAAAGCAGCCGCGAATGGCTCAAGTCTTTGGGCTCCTATATCCACTTGGGAGATCCAGGAGAAGTTCCTGGCTCCGGGCACCGCTGCCATTTGGGGAGTACATCAGCAGATGAAAGCTTTCCTCTGTCAACTGCGTCTCAAGTAGATAAATACACAGACACACAAAAAAGGCTGGGGCCTTTCTGAGACTATCTGCTAACCACAATTATCAAACAAACTCCAGTCAACTTGCAACAGTGTTACAAAGCCGAGGAAGCAGCTGGGTACAGGCACCTCTTCCCAGCTTTGCCATGGCAAGGGGCAGGAGACACTCCAAAGGCCTCATCATGGAGGAGGCATCTATGGCAATCCATGTGGCACTTAAAAACTGTGTCGCAGGCGCTGGCGTGGCAGCTAATCCTCCCCCTGCAAAGCCGGCATCCCACGCGGGGCGTTGGTTTGTGTCCCAGCTGCTCTACTTCTGATCCAGCTTCCTGGCTTACAGCCTGGGAATGCAGCAGAGAACGGCCCAAGCCCGTGGGACCCTGTACCCACGTGGAGGCCTGGAGGAAGCTCCTGGCTCCTCGCTTTGAATCAGCGCAGATCTGGCCATGGCAGTCTTTTGGGTTGTGAACTAACAGATGGAAGATCTGTCTCCTTTCTCTGCAAATCTGCCTTTCCATTAAAAATTCTTTTTTTTTTTTTTTTTAAAGAAACTACGTCCCGGTTACACACAGCAACATCTGTAACGTCCTACAATATTGGCATACTGAAGGAAAAGAAAGGAAGTAGTAAAATGAGGTATAGGCAGAATACCATTTATGAAAAATTAAAAGGAAGCAAAGAATAGACATGTAAGACTAGTTAAGGACACCTATGGCCCCCATGGCAGTGATGGGATGTGACACCCAGCTCTGGCCCGACCTTACTTAGGACACCCGTGGCTCCCTCTGCAGTGACAGGGCCTGACACCCAGCTCTGGCCCCTGACCCCAGCCACCCAGGTGACAGATCTGCGTTGTGTTCCCAGCTCTTGACCCCAGCCCAGCCCAGCCCAACCCCCGTCACTGGCGCACATCTGGAAGAGTGAACTAGCAGATGAGAGAGCAGTCTCTTTGCCTCTCAAAAAATAAAAAACGAATGCACACAACGAGGCATAAAGTATGCACATCGGATACAAAGGATGCACAGTTGTCCCTCAGTAGCCGTGGGGGACTGCTTCCACGACCTCCCCCACGGAGACCACACCGTGTGACTGTTCAAGTCCCTTACATAAACCATGCGGCGCTGCACGGAACCCACACACCGTCCGTGTATTTTGAGTCATCTCCTAGCAGGGTCTGCTGCCAAGGTTTTCACTACAGATGTTATACAAGGTGTCCTTGCACTGTCTGTGGCAGCCAGGACTCCCTGGAAGCATACGGGGCGGGGAGGGGATGAGCCCCAGCGTCCACACAGAACACGGCGTCGAGGGCAGCAAAACAGTTGATTGTGTTTTTTAGGCAACAGTGATTTTAAAAAAAACTCTACACAGGTTCAATTTTTGCACAAATATGTTTGACCCACACAGTTGGTTCAATCTACAGAAGCTGGGGCACAGCGGGTGGCTTGGCATGGTGGGGAAAGGAAGAACGGGCATAGTAAGGAACTAGGTAGCTAAGGTCAAAAGAGAAGGCCCTGCCTGGAGTGATGGAATGTTGAAGTTAGTAGAATTAACCTGAATTCGCAGTGTTGTGACAAAGTGTGTTAAGCAGCCACTGCCTGTGATGTCAGCATCACATAAGGGCACAGGTTCAAGTCCCAAGCTACTGAACTTCAAATCCAGCTCCATGCAATTATGCCTGGGAAGGTGGTGGAAGATGTGGGTCCCTGTGCCCCACGGAAGACTCAGAGTTCCCAGCTCCTGGCTTCAGCCCAGCCATTCTGGTCATTTATGGAACGAACCACTGAAGAAAAGCGTACCTGCTCACTCTCTCCCTACCCCTCCAAGTGTGCCTTTCCAATAAGTAAATCTTTAAAAAAAAAAAAAAAAAAAAACCGCGTGTGGGTTTTTGCAGAGCCCAGGTTAATTCGGTGTGTCAGAGAAAGCCAGCTGCAGGAGCCACAGCCAACCGTCCTCACCTGGCACAGCGATGAGTCAGTGTGCACCGGTGCCAGTGATGGGAAGGAATGTCATGTCCACTCACCCTAAGCCTCCTCCTCAAGGCCCAGGATGCTCTGAGACACACTTCAGAGCCTATCCCCCACCGGCCGCTTCGCAGCCCCCACCCCGCACCCTTCCCTGCCCCACACTGTCACCCTATCGAACCCCGACTGCTTTCTCTGAACTCCACGGAACAAGCCACCGACCCTGCAGGCTCGCCTGCAGCTCAGCCACATCAGCTCCAGCCACACCAGCCTCCATTCTGGTCCTTGAGTATTGCACGACCCATTTCTGCCCCCAAGGCCTTTGCACTGCTGGGTCGTCTCAGCTCCTCAGCCTCCCCTGTCCGGTCGGTCATACAAACGTCCCGGCTCCAGCCGCCCCGGCAGATCGCCCTCCGCCCCAGCTGCCCCGGCATATCGGCATGCCCTCTTCTTCACTGCACATCCTAAGTTCCCCGTCTTTATTTTCTCATTAACCAGACGGGAGGCAGGGAAAAGGACACCATTCCCTGCCGCCTCCCCATCCCTATTGGGTGTTGCACCTGCATTCATATACGCATGACCGGCCAACTCCTCAGTCATCCTCCAACGTCCCCCAGGGCTCCCGCTCCGCAGCTGCTCACCTGCCGACGGCCCGGGCCCGGGGAGGCCGCGGGGTCCCGGCCGGCCACTGCCGAGAGGACAAGCCCGGGGCCGGAGCGGCCGGAGCGGCCGGAGCGGCGAGCCCAGGCGAGCCTGTCCGCGGTCCGGCTGCCGGAAGCGGAAGCGGAAGCGGCGGCGCCGGCTGGGCGGGCCTGGGCGCTGCCACGCGCGGCTGCACTGAGGGTGGCCGTGTCGCAGGCACACGGCCGGGCCGGACGGCCCCGGGAGCCGGGAGGCCGCGGAGACGAGCGCACTGTCCGCAGCCGGCCGCCCGCGCCCAGCCCGTCCCTCTCAAGCCCGTCGCTCCAGAGACTCGGGGCGGAACCCTTTGCTCGCTGTCCGGGGACCGCGCGTGCCCTACCCGGAAGAGACGGCCGCGGCACCCGCCCCACCCGGTCCCGCCGCGGTTTCCTGTCCCCGCCGACCGGCGCGGTGGCCTGGCGCAGTCAAGTCCTCTCCTCGCACGCCCGAGATCCCTCATGGGCGCCGGTTCGTGTCCCGGCTGCTCCACTTCCCAACCAGCTCCCTGCCCGGGAAAGGCAGTCGAGGACGGCCCAAGGACTTGACCCTGCACCCGCGTGGGAGACCCGGAGGACACCCCAGCCTCCTGTCTTTGGATCGACTGAGCTCTGACCATTGAACCAGCGGATGAAACATCTTTCTCTCTTGGCTCTCCCTCACTGCCTAAATCTGACTTTCCAATAAACAATACATAAATCTTAAAAAGCGGCCCGAGCGGCGCCGTGCGTCCACGGATCCCCCTCCTGGCCCTTGTGAAACATCAAGTGACTCTTGAGATGGGAAGTCTTTTTTTTTTTTTCTGCCCCAGCCTTGGGGAGTCCTTGAACCCCCGACTTAGGTGCTCGCTGGGCTATGAACGAGGTTGTGTCCCTGCCCTGGGTTGGGAGAGAGGAGGCAGGAAACCAACCCAGGCCAGGTGGAGAAGCCCACCTCCCCTCCACGAGCTGAGCCTGACAAAGAGAAGGGCTCCCCGCTGCCTCTTCGGGCCGGTCTCCAGCCTTCCTCCCCTGCATACCCCCCACCCCCAAGCTTGCACAATCTTATTTTCTTTACACCACTTGCACAATCCGTCCTTGTTTTCTACATAGCATTTGAGATTATCTGATGTGTTTATTTGTTGGTCCTCCCATCTAGCCCTTAACCTCGCCTCCGCCTCCTTTAGGACAAAAAGCTCCGGGAGTGGGCAGGACCGCCACACCTGCACGCTGCACCTCGGGGCGCGGGGGCGTCAGGATCCTGGGTGGTCCTGCGGAAGCCGAGCCAGCCTGGCCTGAGGCGAAGGGGCCTGGGAGCCCGGCCGGGCTGGACAGGACTGCACAGGCCTTGGCGCACGCCCCCGGCGCCCCCACTTCCTCTCCGCCAGCGCGCACAGCCGCGCCTCTTGGAGAGCTTAGATTGGACCGTGGCATTCTGTGCAGGCGCATGGCTGTGCCGTTTGAGGGCGCACGACGTTCTCAGCCTCGGTAGATGTTGCAGAGGTCCTGTTTGGGATTCTCGGGGTGGGATTGCATCGTGTTGTCTTCTGTATGAACTCAGGCTGCTGAGCTGAGCTTCTTGCTTTTCAGGCCTTTCAAATCGCACCTCGGTGAATGTTTTTATTTCACTAAGGGTGAGGGCCCTTTCCTTACCCATTCCTTTAGAAGTCCTTCATCTGGCCTGGCGCTGTGGCCTAGTGGCTAAAGTCCTCGCCTTGACTGTGCCAAGATCCCATATGAACACTGGCTCTAATCCTGGCGGCCCCGCTTCCCATCCAGCTCCCTGCTTGTGGCCTGGGAAAGCAGTTGAGGACGGCCCAAAGCCTTGGGAGCCTGCAGCTGTGTGGGAGACCTGGAGGAGGTTCCTGGCTCCTGACTCCGCGTTGGCGCAGCGCAGCACCGGCTGTTGCACTCACTTGGGAAGTGAATCATTGGATGGAAGATCTTCCTCTCTGTCTCTCCTCCTGTCTGTATATCTGACCTTGCAATTAAAAATAAAATAGATCAGGAACTCTACTCAGGTACCAGGGTAAGCCCACACCCATCGCCCCCTTAGACAGGCATGCTGGCAGCCCTGGGGCTGGCTTACCGGCTGCACCACTGTGACTGTCTCTTGTGTGTCCCACAGCATGGAACTTTCCATGCTGACATAATACTGGTTTTTTCTTGTGCCTTTGTGATACACTTTAATAAAGAAGTAGAATTAAACACTTCTCACAAAGAGAAAAAAAAAAAAACCAGGAAGGTTATGAGGGAGGCAGAATAGTGGTTGCTGTGGTCTGGGAGTGGGAAATTTGGGGAGTGATAGACAATATTTTAAAATATGTCTCTCCCTGACAGGCACACGGAAGGCATCCATCCATAGGGTCACTCCCCAGTGTCCGTAGCTGCTGGGACTGGGCCAGGCAGAAGGCAGGAGCCTAGAACTCGCCGAGACTCCTCCATGGCTGGCAGGGATCCGAGCACTAAGCCATCTGCCGCCTCCCGGGGTTTCCATCCGCACAAAGCTGGAGCCAGAGTACCAAATGCTCACCCTCTGCTGTTATTATTCCATGTGCGTTTGCCAACATTCTACAAACTACCTAGGGAGGGCATTGGGGTACATCAGGTTGAGCTGAAGTGCGCAGGACCCTGTACCCGGGTGGGAGTCCCGGAAGGAAGCCCCTGGCTCCAGACCTGCCCAGCACCTACAGTCATGGCATTGGGGAGTGAAATGGGGGGAGATCTTTCTCTGTCTCTCCGGCTAACTGCCTCTCAACGTAAATAGTAAATACAAAAAATAATGAAAGTAAGTGTACTTTAAAAGGGTGAGTGTTCCTGTAAGTTATACTTTAAAATGGCAACAGGTGACAGGGGGTAAGAAACACACCATCTAAGTTCTTCAACAGAAAGGTCAAGTGCCCCTCCACTCCCCAGAGTCAAGGGCTCAGAAATCCCACCTTTCTTGCCCCGCAGAGTAAGTCCGGGAAGAGATGAGCCACATCTGACAGCCAGAGGAGGCGAGGGCTGCAGGGTGATGCAGCACTGAGAGTCTCCCCAACATTTGCTCCGGGTACTCCACCTTCCTGTCCACCCTCCAAAGACACCCCCAAAAATCCTTGGTCCCTTCTTCCTGCCACTCTTGATGTCTTTCACTCAGGCAGCATCTGCTTCTATAATTTGCAGAACACATTGAAAATGTGAGGCTGTTGTTGTTGAGACCCCCTGAGCAGCTCAAGATGGCAGTCGTGCCATGGAGCAGGGGCCTTTCTGAGTGTGTGGCCCTGCGTGATGGCACACGCACGCAAAGCTGGTCCCACTCCCAGCCCTTCCTTAACTGCTCCAGCGACTCCCGAGCTCCCGTGGTCCTCCCCAGACTGCCCACCACCCTCTCCCCGGGGTCCGAGTCCAGATGCACCTGGCATGCCCTCAGCCTGTGCTATTCCCAGCCTCAGCCCACGGGAGACGCTCAGGACAGTTGTATGGAATGAATGGCAAAATGACTGAGGAGGACCCCAGCTCGAGTCCATGAGCTTCGAACGTTGCAGCCTTTCCCAGCCGCTGCCAGCTGAGATCCGCTATAATCAAGGGAGACATCCGTCTGATCACCCTTGACCCACTGTCCCCTCCGTGCCCCTTGGGCTGGTTGGAAGTGAGCTTTGGCATAAAAACAGAAGCCAGCAGGCTGGAGTGGCCCATTGGCATCCTGCGTCAGAGCAGCAGTGAGTTCAGGCTGCTTCGCTTCCCGTCCAGCTAACCAGCTGCTAATGTGCCTGGGGAAAGCATCTGAGCCCTTACCACCCATGTGGGAGATCCAGATGGAACTCCAGGCTCCTGGCTTCAGTGTGGCCCAGTCCTGTCCACTGTGGCTATTTGGGGGAGTGAACCAGCAAATGGAAGATTTCTCTCTCTTTCAAATAAAGCCCAAATCTTAACCAAAAAAAATAAAAGGGGGGGGGGGGAATGGAGCAGCATGGTGGCATAGTTGTCTAATCCTCTGCCTGCAGCTCTGACATACCATATGGGCATCAGTTCATATCCTGCCTGCTCCACTTCGAATCCCGTTCCCTGCTATTATACTTGGGAAAGTAGCATAAGATGACTCAAGTGTTTGAGCTCCTGCACCTACATGGGAGACCCAGAAGTGCCTGGCTCCAAGCTTTGGACTAGCTCAGCTCTGGCCTTTGCAGCCATTGGAGGAATGAAGCAGTGTCTCTCCTTCTCTCTCTTCCTTTAAACTAAAAAATAAATAAGTCTTCAAAAGAAAAAAAAGTACCCCACAGCCCAACGGAAACAGAAGCAAGCCAACAATGCCCACAGCCCAGAAGCAGCTGACGGAGAAGTGCACAGGCGTGTGGGCTCCCGAAAGGAGGCAGGGTCTGAGCTCAGAAGCACGCAGGCACAGAGGCCTTGTGAGGGCTGCTGAGGTTTGCAAGGGTACCATTCACGGTGATGGTGGAGGCCTCAGAGACCATCTAAGTGACACCAAGAGCCCGGTAGGGAGGTTCTGGCACCTTCCTGGACCCAGCTGGCTGCCTGAGGGCAGCCGGGGAGCTGAACCCCCCTCTGAGGGGCGGGGAAAGCAGCTACTGCAAAAGGGACACATGGGATCAGCTGCACCCAGAGCCACCAAGCCGGCTTGGGGACTGGGAACAGGTTTGCCTGGCCCAGGATGAGCTAGCAAAGATCTGGTTCCGTGTGACACCCCAGCTTCAGCTCTCCGCGCCCTCCCCCGTACCTTGGGGCCTGGCCTTGGTTTCTGGCACAGCTGCCAAGTTTTGGTACCGCCCACCCACTCCCCACTGGCTGCACTGGCTGGCCCAGCTCCCTAATTGCTGGGTGGGGAATTGTTCTGTTCTGAAAGGTGGGCACCTGGCCTGACGAGCTCCTGGCCAGAATTCTGGAAAAGATCCGGTTGCCTTGGTAGCAGCTTGCTGGCCAGAGGAGCACGGGGAGAGGGGTCTGGAGGAACCCCCGGCTCAGACCTTGGTTTCCAGCGACCTCTTCCATGAAAATGAGCATCAGGGTACGGGGATTCTTCTTGACCTCCCTCAGGTACAGGACTCAGACTCAAGTTCGGGTCGCACAGGCTCCACCCACACCTGGCCAGTGCTGCAGGGGGCTGGGGTTGGTTGGCAGGAAAGGGGCCTCCCAGGCCTCCAACCCGGAAGCCAGCTCCTGGAGGCTGGGTGCCCCAAACACACCCACCCCCGGCCCCGACACACCCCTCTGCACACACCTATCACTCACTGGGTCATAAACACAGCATCCCCACGCAGACAGCTCACACACCCCTCTCCGCCCTGAACAGGCTGGGTCACAACTCACACCCTCACCCATATCCCCAAACACTGGCTCCACTCCACCGCAGGGACCCACCCATGGAGGACACAAAGATCTTCTCAGATGTTCCCAGAGCTGCCCCGTTACAGAAGGAACTAGAAAGCCCAGCTGGAATGCCACCCCCATACCACCAAACCCACAAAGCCTCAACACAGCAGCAGGCAGAAGGAAGTGTTCGGTGAACCCATAAGGAACCTGAGCATCCCCAGGGGTGTAGGAAGACGCCACCTGTGCAGCCAGCCTGGGGCTGTGCCCCACCTACTTCCCTCCAGGAGAGGCTATAGTGTCAGAGCACCTAGGGGCAGTGTTGGCTGAGAGCAGGGATCTCGGAAGACTGACACGGGGGATGCCCAGCAAGGACACGGGTGGGAGATGGGGGACTGCTTCCTGCAAGGCAACAAGCCCCCCACCCTGCTGAGCCATCCATGGGGCCCAGGGAAGCATGTCCACACTTGCTGGGTTGAGGGCTAAGGGTTCTGTCCCCACCCTGGAGGGACCCAACCCCCACCACAGCAGCCGTCCTGCGCTAGCCCCAAGCCCAGCAGGGCTGCCACCCGGGTCCCAGACTTGCCACTGGGACAGCATCTCCTGTTCTGGAGATGTTCCTGGTGGCTCGCTTACTGTTTTCCTGGAGTTCCCTGGAACTGTTTATTTTTAAAAATGCATGGTAAGGGCATGGTATGGTAACCTAGTGACCAAAGTCCTCGACTTGCATGCGCGCCCGGGACCCCATATGGGCGCCGGTTCTAATCCCGGCAGCCCCGCTTCCCATCCAGCTCCCTGCTTGTGGCCTGGGAAAGCAGTCAAGGACGACCCAAGGCCTTAGGACCCTGCACCTGCATGGGAGACCCGGAAGAGGCTTCTGGCTCCTGGCTTCGGATCAGCGCAGTTTGGGCCATTGTGGCCATTTGGGGAGTGAATCACGAGATGGAATATCTTTCTATCTCTCCTCCTCTCTGCATATCTGACTTTCCAATAAAAATTTTTAAAAACCTTAAAAAAAAAAAAAGCATGGCAATCTCTGGTCGCATGGCAGCGAAGGCACTGAAGGCTCAATCAGACATGATGCCCGTCCTCTGAGCACACAGTTGTGGGGCACACCTGGCCTCAAGCCCATCCACCACCCAGCAGCTGGGTCAGGCAGCACCCCGGACCTCCTGATAGCAAACACGATTTTTATTCCGTGGGAGGCCAATGGTCCCATTCCAGCTTCCTTCCCTCTAAACTCAGCCCCGGTCTTGCAGCCTTCCTCTCGCCTGCCCTTTGGGACCATGGGGCTCTGGATTCTCCTGGCCTCCTTCCCTGGGTCACACCCACTCCAGGGAGCAGGGCTGAGCCCTATCCCAGTGCTACTCTGCTAGGAGGGGCGTTGCCCCAGCCCATGCCACCGCCGGCACCCTGTCAGCCCACCGGCCCTACGGGATCCTTCCTCCCAGTGGGGTCTCTCTCCGCAGCTTCTGCCCCTGACCAAGTGCAAGAGAGGAGCCAGTTGCCTCGGGCGCCTTCTGACGGTCCCCCGGTTGCTGTCAGCCCACTCTGCTGGCCTCAGATCTTGGAGGACTCCAGCCGAGGACTCCAGGGCGCAGGGGGCTCCCGTAGCGCCCGCAGCTCCTGTTCCAGGGCCTGGTTGCGGCGGTACATATCCATATAGCCTCCCTGGATCTCCCGCTGGTAGCGCAGCACCCGCTCCTTCTCCTCCTGCCAAGTCCGCCGCTCCTGCTCGAAGCGCAGTGCCTGCTCCTGGCCCCGCAGACGCTCCTGCAGCAGCTCAGCCCGCAGCTGCTCAGCCCCTTCCGCAGCCTCACCGCCCCCAGCGTCCCCCAGCAGCCCTCTACTCTTGCAGTCATCGGTCTCACAGCTGCCCGGGGCCTCCTCCCGCGGGGCTTGCTCCTGCAGGCTGCGCACGGCCTCACGCAGCCGCTCCAGCTCTGCGTCCTGAGCCTGCGCCTGGGCCCGACTGCCCCGAAGCTGCGTCTTCAGGTTGAAGATCTCCGCCAGCTTCTGCGCCAGCTCCGCTTGCGCCTCCCGCAGCTGCTGCTTCAAGAGGCTGATCTCGGCTGTCTTCTGGCACACCTGGGGCGGAGAAGAGCAAGGTATGGGGAGACACTGAGAAAATGTCGGGCAGAAATGGTGCCATGACCACGGTTATGGGAGCACCAGACTGTCACTCACCTCCCAACGGGCTTCCTCCTCTGGCCGGACACCGGGATCTGCTTCGGCGTGTGTGCTGCTGGCAGTTCGAGGCTCCGGGCCGAGGCCCTGCTGAGCCTGCAGCTCCTTGCGCAGGCGCCGCTGCTCCTGCTGGGCCATGAACAGCTGCAGCTGGAGGTTGCGCTCACTGCGCTCCGCTTTCTGAGCCACCTCATGCAGCCGTTCCACGTACAAGCGCTTCAGCTCAGACAACCACAGCCGCTGACGCTCCTCCATCACCTGCCACGAGAGAGGCACCTGCCAGGACCGGCACAGCCACGCCCCCTGGACACGGATTGCCACGCCCCCTGGACACGACGCCCCTGCGCCCTGTAAGCCTGTGCTCTCACAACTCCCCACCCTAACACTACAGTCAACTCTGACATCCTGGGCATCAAGGTCCGGGGCTCTACCCCAAACACGTACCTGCGCCCAGGCTGCCTTCCAGAGGTGAAATGTGCCCAGCACATGGTCCTCCTGGAGGGAGGGGTCCCCTTTCCTTTCTTTCCACCTAGTTCCCAGGCAAGGACCTCCCAACGGACATGACATCCCTGACACATGGGATCCAGGGGACGGTAGCCCAGACATTTTCCTTTTCTTACTGCCTTGTCCCCAGAGCCATGTGGGTGAGCTGGTGGCTTGGAGACCCTGTACTGGACCCACACCCCAATGCCCAGGGATAGAACGGAACCCGGGCACAGCGGCTCCCTTACCTGAGTGAAGGGGTTGGAGCCGTCCTGCTCACCGAGGTCCCTCTTCAGCTGCTCACACGTGTCAGGCAGCACAGCCACCACTTCATCAGCGCTAGAGCAGGAGAACTCATAGGGGGGTGGTGGGTCAGGCAGGCAGCTCAGCATGGACAGTGGTCCGGCCTCCTTGGGGCTCCTCGACGCCCGGTCCAGGGAGCCCCCGATATGGTTAAGATGGCCCAGCGAGGAGCTGAAGGTGCTGGGACCATTGCCAGGACTGCGGCCAAAACTGCCCCCGCTGGAGGAGTCAGACAGACTGGGCTCGGGTTCGGGGCCCGCCTCGTCCAGGCTGAGGGCGTGCAGCAGCTGCGCTCGAGCCTGGCTGACCCGGGGCCCTGGACTCAGGGGCGGGTGGCAGGCCAGCGTGTGCAGGCTGCCGTTGCTACGCCACAGCTTTTGGCCCTTGTGGGCTGCCAGACTCTGCATGGACAGGAAGCCTTTTCCGGTGCCTGAAGCAGGCTTGAACACTGATGGGCGGATGCGACACTGCCAGAAAGAGGAGAGTGCTGTGAGGCCTTGGGGACCACTCTGCCCTGCCCTCCCACGATTCCTGCAGGAGCTCCTCTTGGAGATCAGGGGATGACGACCCCAGCAGGCAGAGACCCAGCCCCAGGACAGCCCTCCCCATCTCAGCTGCCCCATCCCCCTGTCCTAGCCGCCCCCATCCCAGTCTCGGGTCTCCAAGACCTGACCTCGGGCCAGAGACACACCTTGTCAAAGCGCCCCCGCTCGGGCAGTGAGGTCTTGCTGAAATCGCCAGCCCGAGGGTGCTCCCGGTAGTAGAGGGTGGCGTAGTCGGTAGGATCATTCCGAGGGGCTCGCTTGGTGGTCTTGCCATCCTTCTTGGGGAGGTGCAGGTAGCTGAAGAGCTCACGCTGCCCCAAGCCCTTCCGGAGGAGTCCATCAGGCTGGCGGGAGCCCCGCGACCCTGCCAGCGCTGCCCGTAGCTCCTCGGGGGAGAAGTCCTGCCGCTCCAGTAGGCTGCCCACGCTGCCCATGGCAATGCCAGCAGGGCCTGGGGCTGTGGCCATGAAGTTTCAACAGGGCACATGCAGCTGCTTCTGGAAACCAAGAGACTCCATTATAGGGGCAGGTGGGCACTCACTTATCCAACTCCCTGATGCTCCTGGCCTTCTGTGCTTCCTGCCTCATGGGGGCCAGACCCGGGCAAAGCAGAGGTAGGTCCCAGAGGGAATTGCAGGTGAGAGAAAGGGATTCTTGGATTCTAATTCAGACTGCTCCAGTGTTGGGAGTGGAAGGTCAGCCCAGCTGGAGGCCACTATGTGACATGGAGGCATGGGGGTAGGGAAGGGGGCAGGAGACCCTGCCACTGCAGACAGGGTCACCGGGCCAGCAAAAGAGCAAAGCAGGCTCACTCCCCTCCAGGCTCCCCGTGTTATGTGTGGGGTGGGACGGGGACAGGGTCCACGAGGGACTTTTCTACTCTCCTTCCCACAAAGGGTCATGGTTCCCCAAGGGAAACATCTGGGATGGGTGGGGCTGGGGGCTACAGGCAAGGGATGCAAACAGGAAGGGCCCGAGGAGAGGAAGGATGGTGTGAACAATGGCCTCGGTTTCCGGAACAGGTGTTCCCCTCTAGACAGTAACGCAAGGCAGAGGGAAGGGGCAGCCAGACCCCTGCCAGCCCTCATCTGGGCAGCTGCTGTGAGCCCGCCACCCAGGAGACCCAGGGTGGAGCCAGTCAACCAGCCAGCGTGCAAGCTTGGCCAAGCCACCAACTGCTGGAAGCTGTGGCTGCCTCATGCATACGGCGATAATCCTATTTATCACTCAGGGATGCTGGAGCCAGGCGTGTGATAACAGGACCAGACCTGGTCCAAATCCAGACCAGGCTCACAGCCAGGGCCAGTGCAGGCTGGCCAGACAACCAGATGCCCCCGAAGGCCTCCCATTTGGGCTGGCCCCATGCTCTGGACTTGACCTTCATTTCCTTGGATTCCACGCCCAGCCCAGAGCCCAGCATACAGTAGGACCTCAGAAAGGTTCTACAGGATGAATGAACGAATGCAAGCTTGTCCACCTCCCATCCAAGCTCCCCGCCTCCTGCCCTGCTGGACAGACGCCCTGCAGGCAGGCTGCAGCTGCAAGGCCCCCGCCACCCCCGCCACCCACACAGCATGCTTCCGGGACACCCACTCCCGCCCCAAACAATGACTATTCCGAAGCTCCATCTTCCTCAGTCATTTCCAGGTTTTGTGTTAATGGAAGACAAAGCTCCCAGGGAGTAGGCAGGAGGGTGGGGCCCCCAACTCCCACCACTACCCCATAGCACTCAACAAAAATAATATTCCTGGCCCTTCCTTCCATCACCCCCAGGCCCCCAGCCCTGAGATGGGGGTGTCAGTCTGCACATCCCCCAGCCTGGTCCTGGAGAGGGGGAGAGAACCGGCATCTTGGTCTGCAGGTGTCACAGGCCAGGCAGACACAGGGAACTGGTACAGGTGCTGGGTTCTCACTGAGTCCTGTGACACAGCTACTGTCCCTCTTTAAAGGTCAGCTCATTGGGGCTCAGGAAGACGAAGTGACTTGCCCAAGGTCACAGGCTGTGATTCCCAAGTCTCCTCTGTCAGGGTCCTGTGGGGACCCAGGAGGATGGTCACAGCCAGAACTGACACTGGTAGGCATCCTGCTCTCCCAGCAAGGGACACCAGCACCCCGGTCTCTGTGCCAAAGAGTTCAGAAACCTGTCCAAGGGGAGGACAGCAAGGAACCTGGGCTCTAGCCATCCCCTGCACACTGGGGCTCAGGAGATCCCTGGGTTCGTATACCCCTCTCTTTGCCACAGCTCAGTTTGCACGTCTGGGTAGCGGGTGAGATGGCCTGCCTGCCCTCTTTACGGAGTTGCTACGACCAACCGAGGGGGAAGCAAGGCTTGTGAACTGCAGGCCCTGTGTGGCCAGCCTGCAGGTTCACTTCCTGTGTCAGGGAGAGATGACTGGACCCCCCTGGACCCCAGGAAGAGTCCTGGATGCATATGCAGCCCCAGGCCATGACCACATGCACTTGGGCATCTACTGGAGAACAGCGAGGACATGTCCAGCTGCCACGCCCAAGGCCACCCACTCAGCCCTGGGCCTCTTCCAGACACAGACATGACAGGAGACCAGGACACGCATGCCCAGCGGTAGGCTATGCACCTGTGTGAGATGAGAGGAGTGTGTGGCCAGCTACCAAAAACAGCCACGCAGCCCCACTAAGGGGGCAGACAGCCCATTCCCTTCTTTTGCCCTTAAGGTGCCTGCCCCCCGCTGCTCCCAGCTAGCTCTCCCAGCATGGCTGGGGCCCTCAGTTCTCAGCAGGCTGCTGCAGGCTCAATCACAGACCGGCAGACTGGCGTCAGTCCCTTTTCCTAAAGGGTCCCGTTCCACCCCTCCTCCCTCCCCCAACGCACACATTCCTTCTTTCCGTTGCTTGGAAGCCCAGGACAGCATGCTCAGGCCAGGGCAGCTGTGCAGGAGGGCTGGAGGAGGTTTGGGGAGGTTGGAGGGGTGGCCAGCAAGCACGTTGCAATCTTGCTAGGCTGTTGGGGTAGTGAGAGCAGAAAGCAGGGGTTTCTTCCAGGTTCCCAGGCTTCTCTGGACTGCAGGGTACATGCTTGGGACCCAGCACTACCCAGAGCCCCAGAGTGCCCACTATGCACACCCCAGCCTTCTCCCCACGTCCTTCTTCCAAGATTAGCCAGCAGCACTGAGGTCTGAACGCAGAGGGACGCACATCTGTTGTCCTCTTGTAAGGCTGGGACAGTGGCCACAGGACAGAGAGCCCTGGGTGCCCTGTTGAGTTAGGCCAGGCCTTGGGCACTACAACATTGCCCAACACACACACAGGAGGTGGCTACTGTCGCCTCACACCGGCACAGGAAACGGAGGTAAAGAAAGTACTTGAGTCACGTTCAAGGGCACTCCCACCAAGCTGAGAAGCCTCTCCCACCCCCACCTAGCATTTCCCCCCTGGTGGGACACCCCCATCCCTCCCCCCATGGAGGCCTGGCTGGCCCCAGGGGAGGGTCCCCACCTGCTAGGGGATCACTGTTGCAAAGGGTGTGTCTGCAGCTGCCCCAAAGGAATGAGACTGGAATGTCCCAGTTCCAAAGAGAGTGCAGCGGCAAGGGGGGCCCAAGGAGGGGATGCGCTACCCCCACTGAGGCACCAGAGGCTGAGTCCAGCACTGACCCTTGCTGGGGTGGGTCTAATGATCACACGCCACAGCGAGTCGCAGTGGCACAGCACTCCACAGTGTGTCTCAGCTCTTCCATTTTATCATCTCCCCTCCTCTCCACCACAGTCTATGGAGGCAGGTGGGACAGCACTTCGGGAAACAGGGACCTAGAATAGAGGAAGGGAATTCTTCCCGTGGTCAGGAGCCACGTCAACATCGTGGGGAAGGCCTTTGCCTCCGGGTCCCCAAGGTCCCTCCGCAGGCACAGGTGCAGGGAGTGTCGACTGCCCAGCCTTCCCCCACCCCTTGCCTGTTTTCTCCCAAGGGCATCCGCAAGCACAACGACCGGTCTGGAATCCTTCCTGCCTGCCCCAGGTTCGGAAGAAACAGTGGACGCTGCTGGCAGCTGGACTCCATGCCCTTGGAAACTGCTAGTTTCACAGGCGGCGGGGAAGCAGCTTGGCCGCATTCACTCGCAGCGCAGTCTCGCACATACACACCCACACGTGCAACCCGCAGGCAGAGGAGCCCTGCCCCCTAGGACAGCCAGGACCAGTGCGTCCCTAGGGGCTGGGGGATGGGAGCTGCCTGGTGGAAGGTCTGTCTAGGTCCTCGCTTTGGCGAACATGGAAAGGGGGTTCCTTTCCATGTCCGCTGTCAGTGGAGGCAGTGCAGACGACCGAGGATCCCCAGAACTACAGGCAGGAGATCCTCGGGCTACCTGGAGGTGGGGTGGGGTGGGGGGCGTCTCCTCCTGGCCCCTCCCAGGGCCTGCCCCGGGCAGCAGGGCAGAGAGCGGAGGCCGAGGTCACACTCCCGCGCCAAGGACGGATGCCCCACCCAGCGGTGGCGCAGGGGTCCCGGGCGCTGCTTCAAGGGAGGCGCGTTCATAGAGCTTACGGAGCGCAGCCTGCCGTCTGTCCCTCCAGCCGTGCGGCGGACTCGCTCCCTTCATCCGGCGCCTCCGTGCTCCAGGCAGGGGACACCTGGGCGCACACCGCACCCGCCACCCCCGCCCACTTCTCGGACTACAGTCTTGGCCAGCTCGGGGCTACGACTTAGCCAAGGACATCCAGACGTCGACATCCCAGCGACCCGCCCCGGACCCCGATCTAGCGGCCCCTCGAGCGCCGGGCTTACCATGCTGGCGCCGCGCTCACCGGACACCGCTCCGCACCTCGGCGCGCCGCAGTTCCCCCGCGCGGACTCGAACCCTCCTTCTGGGCGCCGGCTCTGGCTGGCACTGAGAGCGTAGCCTGAGCGGCGAGCGACAGGCGCCGAGGAAACGCGGGCTGGCAGGCGGGCGGGCGGGCGCCGGAGCCGGATTGGCGAGGTGGGGACGCGCGCGCGGCGGCACTCGCTTGCCTGCCCTAGAGGCGGACGGAAAACCCGGCCTGACTCACCCGCGCTCTGCCAGCCCAGAGCCCGGCCCGGCCCCCGGATGTGGAGGGCGGGGACAGGGGGGCAACCCCCGCCCACCCGCGAGCCAACCTGCACCACGCCCAGCCTTCTTGGGCACCGGAGCCCCCGGGCTGCACCCCCGTGCGTCTGGCTGGGCTCCCGGCCGGCCTGAGCTCAGCGGAGGCCCCCAGGGGATGGCCAGGGTCGCCTCTCGCCCCTCCACCGCCACCCCGGTGCAGGCGCCACCGCCGCCTCCCCTTTATCCTGGCCTCCCCTACCTCGGAGAGGCGCGAGCGGTGGGTCCGTCGTGCGCCGGGTCCTCGCCGCCCCCTCTCGGGTGAACATTCTCAACCCTGCTACACGTGAGAGCTCTGCCCTGTGTGCCCAGCGGTTTGGCCGCGCGCGAGCTTTGTAGGGGCGGCGTATCCAGGTGCCTGCAGGGGCCAGACCTGGAATGCGAATGAGTCAGACGGGACTTCTTGGAAGACAATGGGGAGCTACGGAAAAGGAGACGGAAGAGGACCGGAAAGCGGAAAGTTGAGCATAGAGTCAACTTAAGTGTCACTTCCAGGTGGTACACCGAGATCCTTAAAAGCAGGGTGTCAGAGGAGTGCTTGTACCAGATGTATACAGCAGTCCTGCACGGAAACCCAAGCCAGCCTACACTGCCCAACAACTGGGAAGACAGACTGTGTTGTGCCCGGACTACTGAGTGGCAACCAGCCGCGAAAAGCAACCATCCAGCTCCCTGCCTGTGGCCTAGGAAAGCAGTCGAGGACAGTCCAAAGCCTTGGGACCCTGCACCCGCGTGGGAGACCTGGAGGAAGTTCCTGTGATCGGCCGTTGCGACCACTTGGGGCGTGAATTATCGGAAGGAAGATTTTCCTCTCTGTCTCTCCTCCTCTCCGTATATTTGACTTTGCAATAAAAATAAATAAATCCTTTTTTTTAAAAAAAAAAAAAGGTAGAGAGAGTGGGGGCCATTCCTGCTAGACTTGGGGAGACAGGCCAAGGTCCAGCGTGGGCCTGCTGAGGACTCGGGTTCACGGAAGCCCACGCCTCCCTGGCTCCCTTCCCCGCCCCCTTCTGTGCTTATATTTTCTTTCTTTTTTTTTTTAAAGATTTATTTATTTTTATTACAAAGTCAGATATACAGAGAGGAGGAGAGACAGAGAGGAAGATCTTCTGTCCAATGATTCACTCCCCAAGTGAGCACAATGGCCGGTACTGCGTCGATCCAAAGCCAGGAGCCAGGAACCTCTTCCGGGTCTCCCACGCAGGTGCAGGGTCCCAAGGCTTTGGGCCGTCCTTGACTGCTTTCCCAGGCCACAAGCAGGGAGCTGGATGGGAAGTGGAGCTGCCGGGATTAAAACCGGCACCCATATGGGATCCCGGGGCGTTCAAGGCGAGGACTTTAGCCGCTAGGCCACTGTGCCAGGCCTGTGTTTATATTTTCATATTCTCTACCTGCACCATGCTGCCGGTGGGAAGGGTATGGGAAAGGTGTCCACTATTCTGGAACATTTCAGCAGGATGGAAAGCAGGTGGAAGGTCCTCTGGGACCCAAGACATCAAGGACATAGCAGGAGGGGAGAGGGGCCTGAGGTTTTCCACCAACCGGAAGAGCATGAAAGCCAGGGGAGAGCAATTTTGGGTGGAGACCTGACCAACCCATCCTCTCCTCACACCTGTCATTTTTGGAAGCTGAGTCCCCCCAAACCCCCCTCCAGTCCTACACAGGCTTCTGGACTCCACCTCAGGCGCAGGCTCTGGGCTCCAGGCTGCTGGGAGCGCCCTCCCTCAGCGTGGGGAGCTGGCATGGCAAACTCTGAGCTCTTAGAGATGGCCTGGGTCACTGGGATGGGGGATGGCAAGGCCAGCGGAAGCCGGCTTGTATTTAGTGAGCTTCATTCAGCTTGCAAAGCAGATGCCTCCTGACCAAGGGGCCGCTGGCCCCCAGACTTGACTGACATTCCTGTGGAGCCACTGCCCAGCTGCCAAGGGGCGAGGCCAGGGCAGGTAAAACCAGGCTCTCTGGATGTGCTCCCTCCTCTTGACCTTGACCCTTCACTTTCTCTGAGCTTTGATTTTCTGCCATGCAGGAGGTGGATCACAATGTGGTTTGGCTGGTACTGTGTGTAGATGTTGGTTGGTCCCTTCCCATCTTGAGGGAAGCAGGGAGTCTGTCCTAAAGTGGCATGTGCTGCCAGGTTGCACTGAAGGTCCGCACCGCCCAGGGTGGGTGGGGCAGAGTGTGGACTGTCTCCTGGTCGGCTTGTTTGGGCATCCGTGCTGCCTGCCTGCAAATGGCCCTGTGCTACTGGGGGGTGAGTAGGAGCTGACCCGTCTCTTAGCCACCACCTGTGGCCTCATCACCTTCTTCTTGTTATTGCAACAGTCTGCTTGGCTCCTGGTGCAGCCGCCCCTGATCCACGCGGTGGCCCAGAAGGGACCTTCCAGGTCTGCACTTTGGTCCCTCTGCCCGGCTTCAAGACTGGTCCTGTCACTCCTTCAGAGTCAGCCGCACAGCACTCTCTCCGGGGACTTCCTGTGTCCCCCCCCCCCATTGAAAATGGCTGGTTGTGGGACAGCCCAATAAAAACACCCATTGCCCTCCAGCTCCGCCTCCCCACTGCATTAATCACCCCACACACTCAGGCCTTTTGCCTAGGCATCTGCGGGTCACCGGTTTGTCACCCCTCCCCTCCCCCGGGGACACAGCCGGTGCAGTCCACATGCAGAGTCCCACAGTGCCTTGAAGGAATTCAGGAAATGCCGCCCCCAAGTAAGCTGCTTTGGCTGACGGAGTCCTTGGGGGAACAGCAGGTGCCGGCACCAGCTCGCTCTGAGCTTCCTTTCTCTGCCTAAGCAGAGAAAAATCAGCTTGAAAAAATGAGCTCAACCTTCCCGGACCACCCTGGGACTCACCCCACCGGGGCGACAGACTTCCGGGGATCCCAACAGAGGAGTCTGGAGGTTGGCGCTGTTCCAGACAACAGTCGCCAATTCTGAGGGCTGTAGACCACTGGGCACCGTCTTTTTTCACTGTTCAGTCAGTCCCTCCCCTTCCCTCCTGTGGTGTGTAGATACTGTGACTCCCCCTCCACGCACCCCCCCCCCCCAGAAGCCCAAGACAGTAAATAGGAGACTTTCAAAAGTGCATGAAAAAGAGACAGAATGAAAAGCTGTTTGAGTGCAAGCAATTTTGAAATCCATGCCTAGTGTCTTTTTTCTCCATGAACCTTGCAAAGACCCCCCATCAAACGCCTATTACTGTCCGACTCTTCCCTTGGGGGCTCAGCCTGGGCTGTCTGCTGGCAGGCTTCGGTGCCAGCCCAGCCAAACGCCTTTGCCCTCCTGTCTTAAGGGCCTGACTCTTGCGAAAAGGCAGCTTCGTGGCTGTTTTCTAACTGGGAGGAGAATAATGGAACAGGACTGGGTGGCTCTCAACCTTGCCCGTGACCTGTGGCAGTCTTAGAGTCTTAATTTGTAAAACCGGACAAATCGTTAGGGAGAATTACACGTGGCATAATCAGGTCGCGAGGGCTGGACGCCAGTGTGTCCCCTACCCCTTGCTGGAGCTGAGCCAGGCCCCGTCTGCAGCATTAGAGGATTCTAGAACTCGAGCCGGCTGCCAGAAAGTCTCCAGCCCTCCTCGCTCCTGGCTGCACCTCCTTCTTTACAGAGCGCTGTGTCACAGAGGACTGTCGGGTCGCGGTGGTAGCCTCACGCCTCGGCGTGAAAGTGGACTTGTTCAGGTGCCTGCCCCAGGGTGGGTGGGAGAGCTCAGACCTGCAGGAGCCGGCCTGGACGTCAGGATGAAGGCCCATCCCAGAAGTCCAGGCAGCTGAGCAGGCCTGTTCCTGTGTCCCCAGAAACCTGGGCGACTCCTTTCTCCTTTCTCTGCCTCCACTGCCGCCAAATCTCAGGTGTGGCCTCCCCGGAGGGTAGCAGGGTAGCTGGCCCTGGGACTTGGAAGCCCTGCGCTTCCATCCTTCAGGAATGCATGGAGAGGGGTTGAGTGGAAGGAATAGGGGGAGGCTGGGGGCACCGCTGCCAAACTGTTCCCCCTGTAAGACGGGGGGATGTGCTTAACGCCTCTACAAGGCACACATGGTCATGAAGGAAGATGTTATTGTTGCAGAACAAACTCCCAAACTAGGGGAGGTGTTACTGGAGAACTTCCAAATCTGGTCCATTCACACAACACGCAGAAAGCCCTCACTGACACTGGGAAGGCGGAAGACAGCAGGTGTCTGTTGCAAAGCACAAGGAGCCAGGCAGCCGTCACTCAGCAGAGAACCTTGTCACAGAGCAAGGAGCCAGGCAGCTGTCACTCGATTCCTGGCTCCCTGCAGAACAGTGGCCCATCCTGGAAGACCCCGGAAGTCATTCCTTCCCCTGTCCAACATGCCCTCAGCTCTTTCTGCTCCAGTGTGTCCCCAGACTCCCTTTTCCCAGGTGATCTGCAGCCCCTCGCCTGAGGGCAGGATGGCATGTCTCGGCCCAGCATTCCCCAATTCTCCTCTTCTTCTTCTTCTCCCCCCGACCCTTTTTTTAATTAAAAAAAAAAATTTTTTTTAAATTTTTTTAGGCCCACCACGGTAGCTTAGTGGCTAAATATTCACCTTGCATGTGCCGGGATCCCATATGGACACCGGTTCTAATCCCGGCGGCTCCACTTCCCATCCAGCTCCCTGTTTGTGGCCTAGGAAAGCAGTCGAGGACGGCCCAAAGCCTTGGGACCCTGCACCTGCGTGGGAAACCTGGAAGAGGCTCCTGACTCCTGGCTTCAGATTGGCTCAGTACCAGCCATTGTGGCCACTTGAGGAGTGAATCATCGGACAGAAGATCTTTTTCTCTATCTCTATTCTGTAAATGTGCCTTTCC